AGAGAGAGAGAGAGAGAGAGAGAGAGAGGGGGGCGGGGAGAGAGACTGAAACTGCATCATTATCATCATCATCATCATTGCCTTTCTCACCCTGGGTTAGGATATAGGCCACGAACAAACACTTTCCACCTTTCCCTATCGCCTGATGTCATTCCACGTCTTCCCACTTTTCTGTACATCCATTTCCATGACTTTTCTCCTGGTTTCACGTGGTCTTCCCCTTGATCTTTTACCCTGTGGGTTCCTATCTAACATTTTCCTTGTTATGCAGCTGCTTGGCTTTCTGAAAGTGTGTCCAGTCCATCGCCAACGTCTTCTTCCCACCTCATCTCTGACTGGGCTCTGTCTCGTTCTTCTTAATACAGTGGAATCCTGTTATAACGAGAGGGAGGGGACCGGTGCGAAATGTCCGTTATTGCAGGATTCTCGTTACAAGGGATTCAGTAATAAATTTAAGGGAAATAGTAAAGTAGGTCTAATATATGAGTTTGGCGTTCTGTTTATTCCTTTTTGTATTTACCCTGATGATGATTTGTTCAACATGATCTCTAGGTCTTACTTGATCAAAAATGGAATCAGGTTTCTTTCTCTACCGCTAACAATGTTGACAGCTCAGCTTTGGCGATCAGAGAGAATGAGCTCTGGCTCTAAGGTAACTGGCCCGCTGTGTTGTCCCCCTCCCCACCACACCCCGTGGTGCGTTGCGTCTACTTACACACGTCACACATTCACTCCATCTATCACAGCATTGTGACCTCTCCATCCCGCACCAGAGAAGTGAGAGGCTGGGCTGGCCAATCAAGTCATGCGTTCTGATTGTCTGCGCATGCCACACCCTCCCCACTCTTTCACTCCGGCCTTCGTTGCTGGTTCGCGTGGGCTCTCCCATTGTTTGTTTTGCTGGATCACCAACAACTTTCTCAACTGGAAAGGTTTTATTACATGTTTAATTGGTCTGTACGCTGTGCACTGCAGCAGCGATTTTCCGTTATAACCGACTAGCGTGTTTGTCTGATTGCCCAATAGCAGTATTTTATTTGCAAAGATAAAGAATTAGAAAAAAACGGGGTTTTAGATTAGTGTCTTTATAACAAACTTCTCGTTGTTTCAGGACTCGTTATAAGTGGACTCCACTGTATTTCCTCGTTGGTGATCATGTCTGTCCATTTGATCCTCAGTAGCTTCCTCAGACACTTGTTTAAGAAAACCTGGATCCACGTCTCACATCCATACAACAAGACTGACTTCACATTTAAGTTGAAAATTCTAAGCTTTGTTAGTAGTGAGATATCCCTGGTCATCCAAATTCTGTTCAAAGAAATAAATGCAGTCTGTGCCTTTCCAATGCTGGACTTTATTTCAGCGCCTATTCCTCCATCTCTGCCAATTATACTCCCAAGATAGCAGAAGGATTCGACGTCTTCTAGTGCATTTCCTTGTACTGTGACCTGCTCCTTTCGTAGTGCATCCATCCTTAGGACTTTTGACTTTCCGGGGTGGATCCTCAATCCAACAGACTCTAATAAACTGTTTAAAATTGCTGTCCTTGCTTGCATCTGTTCCTGAGAGTGTGACAGAAGCGCCAAGTCATCTGCAAAGTCCCGATCGTCCAGCTGTGTCCATGGGGTCCACTGTAAGCCGTTTCTGTGTCCTCTGGGGGTTTCCTTCATCAGTCTGTTGATTGCCAAGATAAAGAGGAAAGGTGATAGTAAACATCCCTGTCTCACATCGGTCTTGATGCATCATGACTTTGTATAACCCTGCAATTTGTCCCTTCGTACATACTCCCGATGAGGTTAACCTACTTCTGTAGGATTCCGTGATGTCTCAGTATCTTCCACAGTGTTGCTCGGTCTATGCTGTCAAAGTCAAATGCCTTCTCTTAGTCAAGAAAGTTGACGACCAACTGGGAGTTTCACTCCAGGGACTGTTCCACTATGATCCTCGGGGTAGCAATCTGGTCCGTGGTTGACCGATTTTTCCGAAAACCAGCCTGTTCATCCCGAAGTCTTGGATCCGTTGCAGACTTGATTTTCTCCAGAACTATTCTGTTGAATGACCTTTCCTGGTATTGAGAGAAGAGTGATTCCTCGGTAGTTGCTGCAGTTGCTGAGATCACCCTTTTTAGGTAGTTCCACAAGGTATCCTTCTTTCCAATCCTTTGGGAACTTGCTCTCATTCCAGATCCTGGTAAGCAATGAGAGAAGGAGGTCTGCCGTCATATTGGCATCGTTTTTAGGGCCTCAGGTGGAATCTGATTAGGACCGGCGGTTCTACCGTTGTTCAGCTTCTTAATGGCATCCAATCTCTTGTTTCGATGGGACATCACAGCAGATGGGTAGCTCATTTCCTGCTGGCAGGGTGTTTGGCGGGTTACTTGGTGGTGGTCTATTCAAAAGACTGTTGAAATGCTCTACCCATCGTCCTGAGTAAGCTTCCTTCCCAATAATGTTACTTCTGGTTTCCTATATTTTCCAGAAAAAGTTTTTGTAGTCTGGTAAAGGATTCGCAGTGGCGGTGGGTAGTGAAGGGCTCACGGGCTTGAGCCCCTACCCCCTCCCCACCCACCACCCCCAACTCTATCCCAAAGTAAATGAAAGTTTCACCATAATGAAATAAGCAGTTGAAACCGTTATGACCGCACGCAATGAACTCAGAGTGATCAACTTGACGCCTTGCTCGCTTATCCAATTACTGTTGTCACCGCTTACAACTATAGTAATCCAGCAGCCAATCAAAAGTCTTTAGGGCTCAGCAAAGATGAGCCGTTTCCCCACGGCCTGTCTTTAATGAAACTCTTCTTGTAAAAAGACTGGGGAAAAATAACACTGTACCGAGGGCTCACGCTCTCTTAGCCCTGACAATGGGGTGAACGTTTACGACATACTTTCACCCACTGACACAGATACCCATTGGTTCTTTGTTGGGTGCGTTCAACTTTTTCGACTACACGGCCTAATCCAGCTCATAGAAGTATTATGTTTGAAGTGTTGTATGTGCATGTTTGTGTTTGTGCCGCTGAGATGTAGCAGTTAAAATCAGGTCGAACTACTTGGCAACCTTTTCATCACACGAAAACTAATTAGAGGGAATTCTGAGGTGAATCGGCTTCGTCCCCACCATCAACAAGAATTTAACTAAGAACAAAGAGATGGAAAACAAAGGCAACTCTTCTCGTTTGCCTGGTTCTCAAACTGCCGTGGCTCACCGTGACTATAGAAAAATCATCACTGTTTAATTCTTATTGCTTGCTATTTGGTGGTAAAGAACTGGAAGCAACCTAAGCCCCACCCAAATTTTGGTCCACCCACCGCCACTGAGGATTCGCATGTTCCCTCCTGCTGTTGCCTCCCCTGCCCTCACTGCAAGCCTGTTCATGAATTCCCCCTTGTCTTTTCCCAGTGATCTCTTTACATCTTTAGCTGCTGTCCTGTACTGCACCAATAGGCCTACGTACGCTTTTGATCCCCTTGTTCTACTTGCATTTGTCTCTGCCTTCAATTGTCTTCTAGTGCTAATCAAATGCAATGACCGTTGGCTAATCCATTCAATGTGCTCCAATTTCTTCTCCCCGAGTATTTCTTGATATGTTGAAGTAAAGACTTCTTTGACCTTGGTCCAGTGCATCTCCACCTCCATGCGCTCCTCCCCAAGACCCGCCAAGGGTTGAAATCTGTTCCTCAACTCACACTGAAACTGCAGAAATGCGTAAAATGGCTGTGCTGAAGGATATAATATGGCTGATACTCTCTTTAATAATTTTAAATATATTGTTTTGATGCTTTTTTAAAAAGGCAAGTACTCTAGCTATTTATTCATACACAATTGATCCTGCTGCACAGTAAAAATAGAGCCTATATGGAGAGATTTTTACCCCCCCCCCCCCGCCCAAATAAAATAAATAAAATAGATAGATAAATAAATAAATAAATAAATAAATTAATTAATTAATTAAAAAAACAAAAAACAAAAGAAATTCAACCCAACGGACAAGCTATTGATTCTTTGCCCAACTCAGTCCATATTCAAATTCTATACAATGCTAGTCTAGATTTCAATTGTTTTACTTAAAAATAATACAGGCTTTTGAGTATCATTAAACTCTGACGGTCATTCCGTGGTAACAATGAGAGAGTAGGACAGAGGAAAATGCCGTAGTGTTGTTGGCAGATTAATATAATTTATTAATATGGGACTTTATTAAGGGAGAGAGAGAGAGAGAGAGAGAGAGAGAGAGAGAGAGAGAGAGAGAGAGAGAGAGAGAGGTACCCATTGCTGGGTGTGGAGGAGGGGGCGGGAAAAATCAATGTCCGAACTGAGGCTCAAACCCGGACTTTCCGCTTCGGAGACGAGCGCACTAACCGCTCCGCCACCACACCCTCGCGCAAATAATGTATAGTTTACTTGAAAAATAGTTTCATTAGTTCACATTGGCTGAATAAAAAAGTGCTTGAAGGAATATCAAAAACAGTCTTTTTATTTTCAAAATAAGAGGTGTGCAGTTGAAAAAATTTGCTGCTATTGACAGTAACAATTTGAAGAAAAAAATTTTAAATTCCAAAAATACACACAAAAAGCACGCAGTTCTTAAGGCCTATCTAAATCTGGTGATTACAGAGACTAATTTAGGAAGAGATTTTTTCATGTATGGCGCATATACTGTACAATTGGCCCAGACTGATGCATCTTTGAATTAGAGAAACAAGAAAGGAAAACGACGAACATAGCATGCACACATGTGCACGCACCTGCATACAATACTAAATTGTATTATAAACGCATGTGCTCGTACATGTGCACACATAAACGTGCATTCTCTTTAAAAAATATTCCGAACTGTTTTACATTTTTACACAAAACAAACTCATGCTCGATGAGTGCCTTGGATAAGAAGAAGGGACAGACAGATTGACAGACGGACACGCAAGGACAGACTCACAGACAGATCAAGACATAGGCCATAGGCCCACACATGGGTACCGTTGTCCTATTTTTTGGTAGATATTAAACACACACACACACACACACACACACACACACACACACACACACACACACACACTCACGCACACACTCACGCACGCACTCACGCACGCACGCATGCGCGCACGCGCGCACATGCATAAATAAGATATTATGTATAATATAATTAATTGTGATAAGTGGGGAGTTTCTGTTTGTAGAATCTAGCCGTTTTACTAGATCTATCACAAGCAAACCCTGACGATACCTTTCGAAGACCACGGAGTCACCTAGGCCTACCATCATTTTTCAAACAACCCGTCAGCCATTCACTATAAATTCAGTTTGAATTCCTTACCAACTGTGCTATTTTGAAGTTTGAAATAAAATTATCAATAGCAGTAGGAACGTGTACTTCTTAAAAGCTGAATACGCATTTGTACATTTAAAGATTTCTTCTGCATTAAATCAATATTTTTCTTTCAAAACCATCGACTCAAGATCTCTTTAAAAAAGAAAGTTTGAAAAGTATTGGTATTTTCTTCCATTTTCTGTTTCGAAAAGAACATCTAAAGTATGCATTTAGAACCCCCCCCCCCCTCCCGCTCCCGATCAGTCTATTATAATAAATGAACTAAGCTTAAAATTAACAACTCTAAACTGAAAATAGTGTCGTTCATCAGTTTGTTTTGAAGTATTCTAAATCTTTTTAATGGACTGATTTAAGACTATATAAAAAAGTCTTTTCTTTAAATAAGGAGAACGTATAATAATAATTAATAGGCCTATAGAAATCTAGAAGATCTACTGTTGTTGTCACCAGCAGCTGTTCACCAAGCACAAAATTGTTTGCGAGTTCTTCTGCTTCAGGAAACTACATCTAGTAGATCTATCTATTATCCCATTGCCCATTGAACATTGTACAAGCCTCCTTCGGAAATTTGTGGGTCTACTGCTGGCTGGCTGCCCACAGGCCAAACAAAAATACTCATCCCGGACGCTCGCCCTTGATGGCTGTAACCCCTTGACTTTTCCCTGGGAATTTTGAAGGTAGGCCTAGTGCAACTAACTCCCAAATCTGGTGGCGTTTTTTCTTGGGAAACCGACCCCCCGCCCCTCCTCCCGTCAATCACTTGCACAGTTTGGGGCGGGGTTTTTTGGCAAAGAAGGGCCAAAGCACAGAATTCTACACTAAGTGTAGAATTCTGTGAGTGTAGAATTCTGTGGGCCAAAGTCAAATTATAAGGCAAAGGCTTATAAATTGCTGCTTGCGTTTCTTTTTGCCTGACTTGGAGTATCTATCCCAGGGCCTGGACTTATTCAATTTTTAACGATAGTCAGTGAATCAGTGACTAAAATAGTAGGCCTGCACATCTTTTTTTTGTGTTGTAACATGATTCATGATATAGATGTTAGATCTTAGATCTATATCTAGATCTAGAATCTAGATATAGTCTAGAATCTGGATCTAGATATAGATCTAGATGAAAGTCTTTTTCTACATTTAGAATCTAGTGATCCATGCGACTAAACCTAGATATCTAGAACGACGTAAGCTATTTTTAGGTAAGGCTGCCATCTTGTGTGAACTCAGACCGATACCCCTCCGCTCATGCGACTACTTTTATGTAACCAACTGCATGTCACCGAAAATCCTTTGGTGGCACAGTGCTTTGGTGCAATGTCTTTCTAGGAATACCAGTTATGTGATATTATGTTGCAGTGCTCCGATGATGCTGCTGCCTTCTTGTTCTGTGCTTTTTTTATTGGGCCCGATGGAGGGGGGGGGGGGGGAGGGTTCTTCCGTATCTTTACAGCAATTTTCACGCGTTTATATTGTCTTTACGTCTTTACGTTTACCGTGTTTCAATTTCAAGCATCACCACCGGAATTCCGAAAATATGCTATTAACATACCAGAAACCTTGAAACCTATCCGTAGAGCATTGCTGACAATCTACCGTTAGCCGCAAGTTTGAAATTTTACCTTTTACCGTGCGAAACACATCGATACGGATATATACGTCGTCAAGCCACTGACTCAACATGTTGTTCCACGCGATATAATCCCCAAAGATTTTCTACACGATCTTTAATATCTCCATGGCCTTCTAAAAATAGTCTGTGGGTATCTCAGGATGTGATGACATCACATTACTAAAATTAGCTGCCAATCAGGCAGGTGCGTCGTTCTACGTTTAGCCGCATGTGCGATCTACTGCTAGATTCTAGATCTATAACATCTAGATCTAGACCTTGTGAACCTTTGCGTTAGAGTTCTTGTTTTAAGACTAACAAGGCACTACTGTACACTTAGAATAAATAACCTTCCAGGGTTCCAGCCCCATGTATGTTATATTGTAATTATTTTCAACAGCGTTTGTACTTCCCACGGTCCCAAGGGTACAAAACTTTTGTGCATTTTTCGCAGTTAGCAACCCTATAAAATATTTGTTTCTAGTGAATTTAACTTTAAACATTGATGTTATTATCTAAACCTCGTAGGCCTACAAAGATACGACATCATTTAAAAAAATTTTCATCAGGTCTCTTAACTGAAATACTGCATATTGGCTGGGACTGGGGTTAGGGTGTGTGCACGAAAATGGCTGGGGCTGGAAGGGTTAAAAGTGAGTAGACCCTACTAGCATCTGTGGTGTAGCAGTGAGGCACTTCACCTTCACTCTCACACGTAGTGAGAAGGTCTGTGAGTTTGATTTCCATGTTTGGAGAATTTTCATCATGCATGTTGTCAGTCTTACAGCAAGATCTTGTATATATATATTCTTCTCAGGCTGGGTTGGCCGTGATGGCAGGGTCAAAACCCACCTCCTAATTTTTAAAAAGCCTAATTTTAAAAATCATCTGATTTGTGTCAATGAATGCGTAAAAACGCATCAACATTTTAACGAAAGATCTTAAAAAATTGAAAGAAGTGAAGATAGGATAGCGAACTAAAACTTTACTTTAACCTGTCTTTGACGGAGTTCCGCTTCCGGCCGACCAACAGAACACAAAAGATTGGATTGAGCAGGTACACCGTAACCCTAACCCTTGTATATTAGCTCAGTGGACCATGTCGCGGTACGTGCCGCCCCTCTGCGGAACTCCTCCCAAAATCTTAAATTGATAAATTAGATGTGCTCTATTCTATTATAATAATGGCAGTTCATATAAGCCTATATACTTAAATTCCTTGTCCCAGATCTTTGCCCTTTTCTATTTCAGTTTTTTATAATATTTTTCAGAACACCCAGACAGTACAAATTGGATTGAGTTAGGGCAAACCAGATTTTCTTTCACGGAGGGACGAAAGCTACCATTCTGGTGCCAATAAAATTGAATTGAATCCCTACCTTGAAAAACAAATGCGTTCAATTTTTAAAGTCACATTCGAGTTTAGCCCAATTGTGCCAGAATGACAGCTTTCGCCTCACCTGTGAGGGGAAATCCGGCTGACCCACACTCGATTCAGATGAAATGATCAGCAGTGTGCACTCTGTATTAGTTTCAGGTCCATTATATAGGCCCTCTATATTGTCATATTGAATTTCATACCAACTTAATGACAATGGAATTAGGCTCGGCCGCTCACTCAGGTGTCTATTCCCATCTCTTTAGGCATAGAGATCAGCAGAAATGGATTTTCGCCTGCACTAACCTCAACAGATTCTGCAGTCTTTGGAAATTTCAATTTAAACTGATAAAGGATTTTTCTCACAGGTAAAAATGAAGTGAAAAGACTACAGAGTAAGAAGAAAATCTTCTTCAGCTTAGTGTTTTGGTGTAACTACTGGAAATGAGTCAACAGATACCATTGCATCATGTGGTAGTACAAGAGTACACTTCAGGGCTTGGTAGTGTTTACACTGAATAATTGAAATATAACTTATTCTGTAATAATTTAAAAAGGTTAAAATATTGTTCAGTGTTATCCATTCAAAGCTCTAAACTACTCTTGTTTTATGTGATTAAAAGTAAAATAAAGGCTCTGTACTTATTGTTTTGACTATGGTTTTTGTAAATTATATATCCTGACACAAATTAATTTTTGCTTGATATATATTGAGATCAGGGCACAGCAGCTGTTGCTTGAAGTGAATATTTGTTTGTACACTGCTACTCTTATAATATGATGGATTGTGGAAATGAATAACTAGCTATAAGAAATATCACAATAGGCCACAACAATCATGTAAAATGTTGTGAGGGTTGCAGGGATTGTTAGCAGAGAACTCTTATGTTGTCTGTTGAAGTTTTGTAAATGTTGCAACTAAACAAATCTACTTTTCAAGCTTACAGATGACTTTATACTTAAAAGTGAGAATAGTAATTGTAAAAAGTGAACTCAAAACTTGACGCTGTTTTTGCAGTTACTGTGTAGGCTATGTTCTTAAATCTTTATTTTTTTTGTTCATGGCAGGTTGTCGAAATGGCTCGTCAGTTGCTCAAGCTGGTGACTGTGGATGTGACAAACACCTTGATCAGAGTGGCAGGGTCTCCTGGCCGGCAGTATGCCTATGTGGCGAGGAAATATGGGGTTGATATTGATGAAACTCTTTTAACAGGTAAGATTTATTCATGCACACCTTTTTTTCTGGGGGAGGGAGGGGGGGTGGGGTGGGGAGAGAAGAAGAAGGAAGGAATGGAGGGGATGAAAAGGAACTCATCAGACTTTCTGAATTGCCATAGAACTGTGATATTTATGAATATCAGAGGTCTATTTTAGCCAGACATTATACAGTTTTTAGTCACTTGTAAGTGAATTGTAAGGGTTGGTGTGGAGAATTTCTTTTTTTTCTTTTTCAGTTGTTTGTCACAACGAGCTGTCTTTGATGCAGTGCTAAAGGATTTACATTTTGTCTTCGTGATTTTCTGTTTCTTAAATTTATGATAGCACACTGCCTGCCATAGCAATTTGAAATCATTTTTGCCTCTCTTTAAAATCTCAAACCCAATGTTGACAATGAATCTTCACCTTTTGTGTTGTGTAACACTACTCACAATGACTAAATGAGACAAACTACAGAAAAGAATTATGCTGCCCATGTTAAAGAGTATGATACAGAATTGGCTACTACCTCTCTATATGTTACAACAGGTGACACATTTTTTAAACCTTAGATTCCCCTTATTCATGTCAGTTTGTAATACACACCATAACTTTTATCTTCTTTAATTTGAAAAATGTTATAATATCCTGCAAGGTTTGCCTCAAACTCTCGATCAGAAGCCATTCTCAGTATGGTTTGACCCCCCTGATTTTTAGATAGCACCTTGAAAGAGGCAGGGGGTCAAATGATCGCCAAATATCAGTATTATAGTACCAGTTTGAATATATGGTTATTATCCAAATTAAGCCTTATGAAATAACATATATACTCAGCTTAATTATATTTTGTCCCTTTTTGCCATTATGACGAGACATTTGTTACTCTCTGTTTTGTCAAGGCATCTCTCCCTATAGAGTTCAATTTGATTTCCCTTCACCACATGTAATTTTACCCTTGATTTTCCAACATTTTTTGGTGAGAAATTTCAAAACTACTTTCTTCTTCTTTTAAAACATCATTCATTTAGGCAATAAACTTCACAGAGAATTCATACTTCAATAGCACTTTAAAAAATCCTACTTCTTAAGGTTTTAGACTTCTAGAATTATGTTTTAATTTAATTTTCCCAATCCTGCACCCTACAAACATTGGATGGTCTACCCAGAAAAAAGTATGAAAAAAGCAAGATTTCCTGCTAGTTTTCTCCACATTTTTGTCAAATAATTTGGATTTGTTTTATTGCAAGGCATGATTTTGTTTGCGTGTTACCAGTATATAACTACCATACTAATAAGTTGTTGAAATTCCCATACTATGCTACATTTTCCAGGAATCTTCCTCAAAGAATATAAAAGCTACACCAAGAAATACCCCAATTTTGGTGTGATGGACGGCATGCCGGCCAACATCTGGTGGTCACTACTGGTCAAGGACTGCTTCCGCTTTGTTGACTCGAAGATCCCAGAGGAGATGCTGGACAAGATCTCCTTTGACCTGTACTTTCACTTCACCAAACCCATGGCCTGGGATCTTTTACCTGGAGCTGTCGCCGCTTTGGAGGTAACAGACCGCCCTGATAAGTGCTGGGGATTTGAATAATGCAGTCTCACCCTTTCAGGTTTTTTCATTATTCTCTTACTTGTGGGTTAGATGGTGTGGTGGCGGAGCAGTTAGTGCGCTCATCCCCGAAGCGCGGGTTCGAGCCTCGGCTCGGACATGGATTTTTTTCGCCCCCCACCCCTGCTTACCCAGCAGTAATGAATAGGTACCTGACTTCGAGTTGGGAAAGTAAAGGCGGTGTGGAAAGGAACTGGCCATCCTACCACAATATGCCTAAGGCCCAGGAAATTGTCTCACTGACAAGGCAATCCCCAATGTCTGGATTGAATACGGGAACAGCTGTACTGTACTTGTGTGTTGCCTTTCATGTGCTACAGCATGTGAGATTAAAGCAATCTGTTGTCTTTTCAACCCACAGTTCAACTTAATATGCATTTGTGGCAAACATATCGATCGGTCAGTGTAAGATTCCAATACATTACTTTTCAAAATCTCTTTTTCCCAAGTTGCGTAGGGATTGATTGCATATCACCTCTGAAGTCTTGCTGCCTTGACCCTATCCCGACATCTTTATTAGTCGACCATCTTGACGTTGTTATTGATGTTGTAACAGCTATTATTAGTGATTCACTTCTTTCAGAAACAGTGCCTTCGTGTTTTAAGCAGGCAGTCGTAACACCTCTATTAAAGAAACAGTCGTTATCCCCGCTTGAGTTTAAGAACTATAGTGGAGCAGTTTAGAATAGATACACTGCATGCTTGCATCAGATGTGACCCTTTCAATGGTGGAATAGTATACGTAAACTTGAACATCTATGCCGAGATGTAAATTAGTGTTATTTATTTGAGTACAGTAAAACGCTGATAACATGAACTTCATGGGACCAAAGAAATTCTCTGTAAAAGGAAGTTGCCAGTGCACAGAATAAATTCAAAAGAACCCCCGCCCCGTGCGATTTTGAAATTCCTTTCGGGGTAACAGGAATTTCTTGTTTAAGCAAAGTCTACTGTGTGGGTGGTTGACGGGTGCTCTGGTGTGGTTTGCTTCTTCTTTCCTATCAAACATCTATCGTCCTTATCTCCCCTTCTTCTTTTTTATGTTTGTTACTCTCTTGTAACACCTCTAATCTTCTGGCGCTCATATGACCTTATGCTGTTGCGAGCGCCGTAAAACCTCTACTAAAACTAAACTAAAGTCTTCTTTCTTCCTCTCTTCTTCCCTCTTTCTTATGGGTCCCAGTGTTCTCCCTTTCAAATAACTTATTTGTATCCAGGCGAGCAGGTGATGTTGATTCCTTTGCTTACTAATGTTTTATTGTATGCTGAAGATACCTCATGGTGAACAGAATTCACTGCTCTACTTTCAGTGAAATTTATTTGAGGATGGAAAATATTTGAGATAGATATATGCATATATAATATATATCTTGTACAATATTATTGCTTGAAAGAGCCTTGTTTATTCTTCTCGTCCAGGACTTAAGTCAGTATCCAGTCAAACTTGGAGTGATTTCTAACTGGGACCACCGTCTGTATAAAGTGTTGATGGTGTTGAAGTTACGGCAGTTTTTCGACTTTATTCTCCCATCTTACATCATTGGATATGAGAAACCAAACAGTATTATTTTCCATCAGGCTTTGGAGGTAAGTGTTTATTGAAGGAACAATGATGGGTGGGCTCTCCTCACTGGTTGTGTATGTGTGTGTGAGGGAGAGAAGGGCGTAAAAGAATAAAAAGACCGAGAGACCAGAGAGAGATGGAGAGAGGGGAGGGGGTAGGGGTAGAGATGGAGGGAGAGAGAGAGAGAGAAGGAGAGAGAGAGAGAGAGAGAAAGAGAGAGAGAGAGCAACTACCTATTGTATTATGTGAGGCGTGCTGACAAAATGAGTTACTTCTCGCAGGCCACAAATGGAGATTTTGGTCAAAAATCGACACTAGGGTCAAATTTGTAGAGTTTGTATGGATACCGTATTCTTTAACTATAACATGTCTTTATTATTTCATACTTATAAATTGAAAAAGCTTCACCTAAGCATGATGTAGCGATTTCTATATATAGGGCTCAAATCTGAGAAGTAACTCATTTTGTCAGCATGCTTCAAATATTTTAGGGATGATTATAACTGAGCTGTGAGCTGTTTTGAAGGATATGCAGGTTGTTGGCTGACACCATGTCTATTCTTTTTTTTTTCCCCACACTTCTGTTATCCTCACCTTTTCCTTTACGAAATGTTGTCACAGCGTACTCGCTTGTAATAGACTTGAACTCTACCACAAGCTTTTTGCGAGTAGTAAAGGGGCGCCACTGGTAAGCTCTTCTTTTTTTTCCCTCTGTTGTTATTGTCTGTATGTTTGAACTTTCTCTTACTCTTAATAACCATTATTATCTTGATGTGCTTCTTTTTACCCATACAAAAAACCCCAACAAAAACAAACAAACAATCACACAAGCAAACAAACATAGAGCATCGTTTAGGCTATGACCAATAACTGTCAGTCTTATTGACTCAATTATGTTCACAGGAATCTGAACAAAGCAGGATGTTCGATAGAAACGATAAAGACTGAAAAGAAGTCAATCCAATGTGCAGCATCTTCCTTGTTCTTTAGGAGCTTCTCTTGGGGGTTAACTCTTTTTATTTTAGGTAAATGTTTTTATGAGGTTTTATATGAAAAACTACAGTTAGTCACCCATCTGTCTAGGATGTTTCTGGAAAGAGAAGAATTTGGTTCGTAAACATTGTCATCCACATTGGATCCGCATAGTGCTGACTCATGGCTGCAAAATCAGTACTTACAACTGACCAGAATCTGTGATATTAGATAGTAGTAGTAGGCTCTTTGAAGTTTCATACAAAAGATGTTTGGGGAATTTTTGTTTAAATCAAATATCTCCATCTGTCTTCTGGAATGTTGTATCCCTTTCTTCCCGAAATGGCCCTAACAGACAGGTTGGAAGAAATCAGTGTCTTAAATGATCTAAACTTTATTGATCGGATATTTAGTTTAGTAGAGTCAAGAGTTTTACAGTGCATGCAGCTGCATAAGGTCATCTGAGCTCACTATCAATGGATGGGGTGTTTAGTAAGTGCGTAAGACATTTACAGTTATATATTATTATTTGCAACTTATTTCCCTTTCAGGATGGAAGATGTGAACCCCATGAAGCAGTACACTTTGGGGACAACATCGAGAAAGATTTCATTGGTGCTAAAAATGTAGGCATGAACGCTTATCTGCTGGCCTCTGAAGGAGTGAAGAACGACTTCCTTGACCAGTCCCTGGTGGTGAAGACTGTGCAGGAGTTTGTCGACAAGATACGACCACAGCTGGGGGAGAGGAAGGCAGACCCTGTTTGATATGATTTTGTTGAAGATTGAGAAGTGGGGACAGTTTTCTTTGATTGTGCACATCTGTTTTTGTGCTTTGACATAAGTGAATATGTGTCATGAAGCCGTGGAATTGGAACTTGTCAATTTTTGGGCATAAGGAGTTTATGGTATAATCTTAAAGCTTGTTCATTTGCCATAATTTTAATTTTAAGAATACTCAGCTATCTTGAATATAAATAAAATTGTATTTGCAATTGCAGAAAGTGGGGGTAGCCCGGTTTCAGAGGTAAAAATAGCGAGAAAATGGTGGCCACAGCTTGACGACTTCCATAGCTTGAGAGTCTTTGGTAATTGAAACTAAAAATGTTTGCGTTTTTAACTTTAATGAATGTTTTAGAATAAAATTCTCACAGAAATGTGTTTTTAAATAGAGATGGAAGGTGTTGAGCCAAAAAAACAAAAATTTGATAAATATTCCCAAACCTGAGGAAAAATGCAGTTTTCTTCGATTTCTTTATTTTGACGAGTTCCTAATTTCACCATGAGGCTTCATATTCCATCAGAGGGGGGTAAGTGTGTTATGAACTCAGGGGAATGGGTTATGGGGACACGGAGTCAAGTTTTACTCCCATTTGCTGACACTTGCTTGGTTATGTCATTGCACAAGACAGAAATAGTCAGGCCGATCAATCAAAGTCTATGCTGCTATACTTTTCAGGCTGATTTTGCTATTTAGATACAAGATATATACAGTACCACTAATACAGAAGATAACTCAAGGCTGTGATATGATATTAACACAATGTTTTGTAGTTTAATATGTGATAGTTTGATTAGCATGACTGTTGTGAAATAAATGTAGATTTGAGTAGATTTTCATGACTTGTTACAATGCAAACATTGTAATGTGAGTGGTTTTTGCTTAGAGCTCAGTACTTTGATTTACTCTGTTTCGTTATCTCTAAATTAACTCGGTATGTTTGTTGACAGAAGCTAGTGACTGTTCTTTACTCATAGAATATCTCGGTGCAACATTTTGTCCAAATTTGTTTGTTTTACTGCCAGTTACAAAATGGCGGATGATCACTCTGTTGCCAGTTTAGTTTCCTACAGGTTTGATGTCCCATTTGATACAATTAGTTTATTGAAGAGAACGTTTTGTTATTATTTGGGATGATTTTTTTTTCATATAGTGTAATGACAATCTGGCATTATGGGCTGTCAGTCTTTAACACTGACATGACTCATCAAGGTCGAATCTTTTTTGTATGTGATAAGTGAAGAAGAACCTTTCTAAATGTTCAGCTATAAAGATCCAACTCATACTTGCCGGTGCAAAATAAGTATTATTTTGTGTTTCACATATATTTATGCTAATAGTTCTTTTCATATAGATCTTTTTCCACTTGGGGGATTATTGTAGTACTTTTTTGCTTCACTAGCCCTCCTTATTTATGGTGTTACTGCTTAACGTGCTGTATGGAACCAGTTTAAATGTGTGATCATTAAAATGGTTTGCTATTTATGTAGCTGGTTAAAAACATACCTGTGAGTTTTTGCTTGAATGTTGCTCAAGTTTTTCTTTCTACTCTTTGAAAAATATTTTATAAGAGTAACATGCGTGAAATGATCGGTAAATTTGTGGCTTGATTTGTGATGTACTCGAAATTTTCAAAAATAATTTCCTTTTTTTTTCTCCTTTCATTGTTGTTGATTATTTTCTGTGACCTTGTTGAAAACAGTCTCTTATGCGACTTGGAAAAAGTCTGTTGATTGGCTACGATCATCTGCGCTTCCAAGTTTCCTTTTTGGCAATGGGTTTTAAGAGGCAAGAATTGTCATAATTTGTGATGTTGATACTGCACTGTAATAGTTCGGGCTGTTTCACAGATCTGATTGGTTTAAATTTAGGGTTGACTAGATGTTCTTGTAATTCCCTGTTCCTGTTAAATTTTTTTTCTGATCAATTCACTTTATACCTCTTATACTTATGTAGGGAGCTTCCTGATAATGTTCTGTATTTCTAGAGCAAGGGAAATAATCAGCTAAAGTATCCGACATTATGCTGATATTTTTTAAAATGTATTATGAAAAAATAAAATCATTCTTTACTAAATGAACAGGAAAAAAACTCAGCTGTGTTAAGAAAAGAACACTGGTTCTAATGAGCCTGTTTCCACTTCAGTACAGAATGGGCAAGCTGTTTATTGCTCCCTCTTTTGTTGTTACTATCAGGTAGCACTTGTTACCCATCTATTTCATCAAATAAAAAAGTAATGTACTTGCTCCCATGAATAATTATAGGCCCATACATCATTTTATGGTATATAGAAAAATAGACTTTCAATATCTTATTATTTGATCGGGATTGTTTCAGAGGCCGGGAAAATAATAATATATGTTCAGTCTCATGGTTTTTTTCCGATTTGTCCAAGTTTCAACTCCATTTTGTCCCCTGATTCTAAAGTGATTAATAGGGAATGTTCTCATAGATTAATTTTGTTCTAATAAAGGCCAGAAGAAATCTGGATTTCTGGCCTATCCCAACAATATGATGCCAGTGATGCTTGAAGTTGAAGATTTCTCACTTTTGCCTTGAAAACTGAAACCTGTTGATCTAGATTTAGCAAGAAAAGAAAAACTGTTTCGCCACCTTAGATTTACAAAGTTTTATCTGACATTTCGGCCGTTTTGAGTTATGTATAGGACCATAAGGTCAGAAACCAAATGGTATATCTGCTCTATCAAAATTGTAGGATTTTTTAAAATTTGGGGTCATTATTAAGGCATTCAAAAATTTGCATTTGAATTTGACATGCTGTGAAACTCAGAATTTCTTATGTCAAATTTCTCAAAACTAGGTAGGCCTACTGAGCAGATAGAACTTTGTCATTCTAAGGTAATGTTTTGTTTTGGTTGTTTTTTATGTGTTTTTTTGGGGGGGGGGGGGGGGGTTCTTCTATGGGAGAGTTTTAAAAATTGTGCTTTTATTGTTATGAATCTTGAATCATGAATTATTGTTATCTTTGGTTTTTTATCTCAGAAATTAGTACTCAGTTCTACTTAATAATCTGTTTTCTGCAATATTGATGTACCCTTGGTGTCCTGAAAATTGGCAGCTCTGTGCTGTCTTGATGCCAAACATCAAATGATGTTTCCTGCTTTTCTTCCACTTTTTTTCCCTTCTTCTTTCCATTGATTTGATTTGACTGGGTTGATTAATTGATTGGATTTAAAAAAAAAAAATTTTTCTTGAGAGGGTGAAGTATTTATGGCGGCAAGTCCTGTTTCTTTTTATGTAAGTACAATGTACCTGTTTTATATTTTGTGAAAGATATGGAGGAACATCAGATACATACAGTGTATTGCGTTACCTGGTAATGGAAAATGTGGTAGTTATATCCCACTGTTGATTTATTGACCCACTTACTATATTGCAGCTGTGGCTTTGTTGACAATAAAACGATGCAATGTATCTTTATTCAAGACTTGACTCCCTCTGTGTCTGGTGTTAGTGATGTGTCGGCCAAGAGTATGCTGATAAAGCCACTGATGTTTGTTTATTCGATTTTTAAAGGAAAAGAGTTTTTAGGTTTTTTTTTAATCGAAGAAGTGAGGTTTGTAAGTTCTATGAATGAAATGTACTTTTAGTTAAACTTATTAAAAGGACTCAAAGTACAATATAACACGCATAGGTTGAACACAGAATACTCGAAATCATGCATCCGTCGAACTGTGCCTATGATCCTGGGTTGTTTTTTTCTTCTTTATCTTTGTAAGATATCCCTGGAACCACGGATCACTCGAACTACCAAGGCTGGTCGCGACGAATTCAAGCTATCTGTGTTATACTGTATTATTTTTAGCCCTTTGATTATGTCACCTGTGCACTTGATTTAATGTTTGATGTCATCCGTAATTAATTAAAAGGCAGTCACTTTAATATAAGTATGCCTAGGCCTACAATCGACTACGGATGATTTCAGTTGATGTCATCAGGGGAGTGAAAAAAAGGTCAACTCGTCTAAAGTTAAACATAACTGTTGCGTACTGTAAGTAAAAAAGAACAGGTGCTAGGACAGGAGAAAAAGGTCAACTTTAACGGAAGATCAGCTCCAACAAATTCAACACAAGCGGAGTCGACGATAATAATTATATCTAAATCAAAACCCTGATGAATCCATTTTGCCAAGAATTTGTGGGTTCTCTTGAAGCGAATGACGTGTTATTCGCTTATATGTGTATCAATGAATGAAGTGAGGTTATTTCCATTCCATTATGATACATAGAAGATCATGGATGGGGCCCAATAAGTTGTCAACTTTTTAGATTTAAAAAGAAAAACAGTTTTAGTAAGAGTTTTACAGGACTTGCAACCAAAAAAGTTACCTAAGTTCCGAAGATTAAATGTGTTACAAGAGGGTAACATACCCCCCCCCCCCCCAAAAAAAGGAGGAGCGTCTAGAGATAAGGACGGTATAATAATATGTGTGATAGGAATAAGGAATTAAAGGAGCAATAACCCACACTTCTCCTTTCATACTGAATTTTAATGAGAGTAATATATATGATTTAAATTTTTTTAGGTATACCTGCATGTGTTTTTACGGTCCTGTACAGCCAAGGAAAATTTCCATCTGGGATAATAAAGTACTATCTTATCTTATCTTACCTGAGCACCCGCCAACAATCTGCTTTACAAATTTACAAGTCACAGCTCTAGATTTGTAGCCAGGGATGAAAGGAATGGAAAAGACCTTGCATAAATATTTATTTTTATTTATGATTGCCTGGCTTGTCATCTGTTGTTCTGTGTCTGCCTATCTGTCTGTTGTTCTTTTCATGTATCTTTTTCTTAACTCCCTTGATCCTATCTCTCTTTCTTTCACTTGATCTCTGTCTTCTCTCTCGTTATGCCATTTTCCCTGCGCTTGCACCCTGCTAGTATTGCTTTTCGTTCAAGTGTCTGTCTGTCTGTCTGTCTGTCTCTCTCTTCTCTCTCTCTCTCTCTCTCTCTCTCTCTCTCTCTCTCTCTCTCTCACACACACACACACACACACACACACACACACACACACACACACACACACATACACACACACACACATCAGTTCTGTACTTTCTGTTGTTATCGCAAATATTCCTTATCTCGTCTCCCCTGGAAAACAACCGTACCCCCGACACCATAAAAGGGTGGCCTTTTTCAGCTAAACTGAATCAAACGCAGTTGATGTAGTCTACCAAAAAAAAAAAAATGCTTTTCAGAAAAATAAATAGATCTAGATCTAGAATCTAGATCTACATGTAGACCTAGATATCATTCTACATTAGTTGTAAACTCCTTGATGTAGACCTAGATCTCTATATCATGGCCAAGGACTTTACTGGGGTCCCGCCACCCGAAATACACCCGTAGCTTGAAATAGAGAAAAATCTGGAGATCACAGGACACCGCTTGTTGACTGTTTACCGTCTGGGGTCAAAGGGCGTTGCGGCACTGGCTGGGTGAGTGGTGTGTGGAAAATAATCGTTTATAGTTTATATAATATCATTTATTTTGTAAAATTGTAAAATCTAGATCTAGACCGTATCTGACAGCATGTGAAAAACATTTTATAGCCTAACATTGGTTGACACCAACGTATGCGGACACTGGCGATATGCTAGCTTGGAGTGAAGTGTAGCGGCGCGCCCTTCACTACACCCTCTGCTCAACACACAGCAGACAATATTATATAATTAAGTCTACTTTCAAAGATTCTTTGGAATCTAGATTCTAGATCTAGATCGATCTAGAATCTATATATTAGATCTATATTTGAGATCTCTTTCATAATTTGTCTTATTTTTAGACTACTAAAGTTTCCGTTTTAGTAGACCAATTAAGACTAGATATACTACTATAGAGACAGAGTTGAAATTTTATACCATAGGCCTAGGCATAGGACCGAGGCCCCGCCCTAAGTCAGATGTGTCACAAAGTGAATTTAAGTCAGAATAGTAGAATTGTATTATCTACCATTCCATGTCTAGGCCATGCCATAGTCGCTACAGGTACACATAGATAGGGCTACTGCAACTTCAAAACTAATCTATATATATATATATATATATATATATATATATATATATATATATATATATATATATATATAGAAGTCATGAGATCAACAGAACATGATAATGATAGGCTATCTTAGCTCTATATATTATGTAATATATGTTAATGCCTAGCCTAGATTCTTTATAATTTATATTGGCTATACCCTCTTCAAACTTCCTACTCCTTTTGGTTTATTATATGGGTCTAAAATCCTAAAGCCAAGGGATTAGGCTGTGCTGTACTGTAAATTGTAAAATATTCCAGGAATGTGAGGGCCGGAGAGCGGGGTGGCTTTGGATACTTTATTTGGCTCCACCACACGCTTCCAGAACAATTCAAGCCAGAGAAAAAAGGTTTCACGTCTATTGTTAGCCCTTTGGGCATCGTCATATTATCAGCTTCGCATAGATATGCATCATCTCGTTTTACTGTAGAGTATCATCTGAGGTCCTAGATACCTGAAACCACCCCACTCTGCAGGAGACATCCAACAAACGTGAGGGAAACCGGACGAGGAGGAGTGATTTCGGAGTGTGTGTTTCCTGTATCAATTGTCATCTTTAAGAAGCAAAACTTCGACTCAGGATGCTATACTTCTCTACCTTTTGTTTGAGGGTTTGAGGTGTGAAAATGTATTTCACAATCACTGGAAATCATGGAAAATAATTATCCAACAATATATGATCTACATAATAAAATACCTTAAACCAGTCCGTTTTGTGCACATTTCTACGTATTGGTCTGAACTCTTCTTTTATCATTGTTTCATGGTTTTCATGGCTTTCCGTTACATCCTGACGGAGAGGGACGTAATATCTGAGGTCGACCATCCCAACTAACCTGACAGCAATGGTGTTCTGGGAGGCATACCACAACCAAATTAATAAAACACCTGAGGGAAACAAAGTGTGCACATTAAAATAATTCAGAATTTTCTTTTTAAAAAGAGCCTCAAGTGTTGCACTTTGTTTGATCTTTTACTTTTGAAGATGAAATTTAAATGTACTGGAAACTTCTATGAGAATAGAAACATTAACAGATGCCATTTTAAACAGCAAACTTCTAAGGAGCTTTTTGTCTTCTTTGTTGAGCCTTGAATTGGAGAAGGAAAAACTGTTCTCATTTTTAAAATAGTCGAGTAGATTTCTTCACATTATACACATAACATAAAGGCTTTGCACAAAGCAAAGGCTATGAATCAATAACAAGTGAATGCATGGCGAGTTTCATATTTTTGTGAACTAAAAGACTTCTTTTCTTTTTGTGGCTGTATGTGTCCTTGGCATGGTTGCATTCTGGGAAAATTAACAACGACACAAGAATGCATTATTGTAATAGTTCTGATTTCAACAACACTTGCATTAGTCGTTGGTGAGAGTGTATGAAGTCACCCCACCCCTGTATGAAGTCTCCCTACATGGGGGTTGTGTAGGAAACATGTTCATGAAACAGACATCGTGAAAGCTAGGTTTAATTTTACAAAATTGGCACGTAACAACACCCTAAAGCACATATACCTAGTTTTGTGAAAGGGTCGGTGCACTATTATGATATGTAAACCTTACAAACTGAGGTATGAAAACTTAGGTACACCCTTGTCAAAAACACAATTTCCTTCACAGCAGATGCAAGGATTATACTCTAGGCTGTGAGACGTCAAAAACACAACAAGCTAAAACCTCACTTGATATATCATGTGATCCAGTGACAAAGTGTGCACTATCAAGTTTAGCGAGAATTGACTGTCCGAAGTCTCCTCGTGTCCGAGGCCTCCTGGCTCTCCCCTATTATCATTTAATGTGGCAGGTACTCTTGTCTCCACTTAGACATAGACTGGTGATGAATGATGTAGACATATGAATATGAGGTACCTTGGTGAAATCAGACGCTTGTCAAAATAAGGAAAACAAAGAAACTGGTATTTTCCTGACCATTGGGCAAAATTAAAAATTTTGTTTTCCATATTTGGCTCGAAACCTCTTATGTCCACATTTAAATCATATTCTGTGTGGATTTTACTTTATAATATGGCACATGAAAGTAAATTTGCAGTTTTCAAGGACACTAGAGCATTTGAATTCACCTGTCTTTAGCTGCCATTTTCATGCCAATTTTACTTCTGACACCAGGCTGCCCCCAGCTTTTTCATTCGCAAAAATCTCGACTTCTGTTCAAGATAGATCATGGTGGGTAATTTTTTCATGAAAAGTAAGACAATCTTTAGTGTGAAGCAGTGGGAAAAAGATTGGTTCAGTTTTATTGATTTTTTGGAACGTCCAAGGGGTTGGGTTTTTTTTTTTGGGGGGGGGGGGGGGGGGGGGGAGACATTTGATAAAACTTGGCTTTTGTTTTATATTTTCTCTATTTGTTTTTTTTTTCAGGTTTTTGCATTATAAGGACTGAGCTATAAGAAGGGAAAGATTCAAGAAGTTTAAGAACTTCTTTTTATCCTGTTCATAGTGTAGTCTGATCTCTCCTTTTTGCCTGCTAAAAGATGGCAGCGTCCGCAAAGAAAGTTGCAATAATCGGAGCTGGGGCCAGCGGCATCACAGCCATTAAGTGTTGTCTGGACGAAGGTCTGGAGCCGGTGTGCTTGGAGCGGTCAGAGGAGGTTGGTGGATTGTGGCGTTACACCGACACGCCTGTAGAGGGTCAGGGGTGTGTGATGAAGTCGACAGTGATCAACACCAGCAAGGAGATGATGGCCTACAGTGACTACCCCATCCCAGAGAAGTGCTCAAACTTCATGCACAATACAGAGGTATGCACAGTTCATGTATATTTACTTCCTACCTCCACGCTCATATATATGTTTGTTTTGTTTTATTAGAGGTTTTATGGCGCTCTCAACTGCAAAAGGTCGTATGTATATTATTGCATTCCAAAAAGTAAAAAGAAAGAGAGAGTAAAAAAGTGAAAGCAATTAGATATCTTTGATTTACACACAGTAGGATTTTTTTCTTTCCAAAGATGTGTAAATAGATATATTCTCAGAGAAAGGTTGTGTCTCTGTATGATGTGTTCCTGATGATTTCTTGGTGGGCTGTAGCTGTCAAGCCAATTAGAATTGATTTGGGATAATTTTATTGTTGGAGGTCCAGTTGAGGCCTCCTTTCTTAAAGTTAAGATTGTCTTAAGTGCTTGATATCATGGATACTCCCATGTTGGCTCAACAGAGAATGGAGACACCTTAAATGCATAATAGGTCAAGTAAAATCCAATGGAGCCTTCAACTAAACATTTACTAATTTAATTGTTTTGATTACTGTAAGCTCAGAATAGCCAGTATGGCCTTTTGAGAATGTGTTGTCAATATGTAACGTTAATGAAGCTGAACCTTTCTCCTTGTTTTTGTGTGTGTGTGTTGGTCTGCAGGTCTTTGAGTACTTCAAAGATTACGTGGAGCACTTTGGTTTGAGAAAGCACATCCGATTCAACACGTCTGTGCTCTCTGTGAAGAAGACCGAAAATTTCCCCGTCTCGGGACAGTGGGAAGTGAGGAGTAAAGATGACAAGAGTGGGGAGGAGAAGACAGAAGTTTTTGATGGTGTTTTAGTCTGCTCCGGTCACCACGCTGACAAGTATGTTCCCACCTTCCCTGGATTGAGTGACTTTAAAGGAAAGGTAAAAACGTTTATTTGGGTTTGGTGAGATGTTTGTTTTTGGGCTTGGTGACTTGAAAGGAAAAGTGAAAAATATCTGGAAAAATTATATGTGTGTGTGTGTGTGTGTGTGTGTGTGTGTGTGTGTGTGTGTGTGTGTGTGCTGTGTCCTAGGTACTCCAATCTGCTTTTTCCATCTTTTGCAAGTTTCTTTCCCATAAAGTTCTACATGATATCATTATGGCTATGTGTTGACTGTCTCTTAACTCAAACTGATTAGTCGATTGTAATGTGTTCCAACTGTATTATTATCATTAATATCATCATCTTCATCATCATTGCTGTTGTTATCATCATCGCTGTCGTCATCATCCTTATTCTTGTAAGTGCAATAAATAAAATAAAAAATTGGTGGAGACCTGAGGATTTCAAGTTTGTTAACATTATAGAAAATGTTAAACATTTCACCCTTATGGGCGTCTTCAAGAATGTGATAAAAATACAATGTTTTCTTCCTTCGGTTCCAGTTTATTGAGAAATTTTGGATGCCTTTTTGTTTTTATTTATAAAGGTTGTTCACAGCCATGACTACAAAGTTCCTGATGAGTTTGCTGATAAGCGAGTGGTCATAATTGGCATTGGCAACTCTGGAGGAGACATTGCGGTGGAGCTCAGTCGCAGATCCAAGCAGGTGAGAACGAAAATAATTTGTGAGGCAGCACGGCGGAATCAGGCTCTCATCAATTTTTGGGCATGTAGAGTTATTGGTATCATCTTAAAGCTTGTTCTCTTGTCTTTATTCGGATGAAAATAATATCCATTTGTCTTGAATACAAGTCGAGATATTTACGAAAGAAGGAGGTGGGGGTCACCTGCTTTCAGAGGTAAATTAGTGATAAAATGGCCGCCAAAGATTAGTTATTTCCTTAGAGTAAGAGTCCGTGGTAACTGAAAATTTACATTTTTTGTGCCTTTTATCATCGTTTTTCAGAAAAATCCTCTCAGAAACGAGTTCTTTAATGGGCATAAATGGTGTTGAGCCAAAAAACAAAAATTTTATAAAAATTCACAAACCTGCGGAAAAATGCAAGTTTCTTCACTTGGATTATTTAGACGAGAGCCTGATTCCACCATGTTGCCTCACATTTGAATTCTCTTACATAGTCATAGAAAACTCACTCGACTTTCATCATGACTTCTTTTGCCTGTCAATTCATTCTGATATATCCCCACAGACACATACACTGTTGCAGCTTGTTAGGCATGCAGCCATCATTTGCATATTCTCTTTGCCTATCTACCAGCTGAATGAACTGAGAAAAATGAGATAGAGAATCTTTCCTAATAATACAAGGTTTTACCCTACCAAACTTGGTAGTGAACCTACTATCATTTGATGCATGTCCAACACCTTACCTTTAGACTAGGATGTTAACTAAGGGAATATTCCAGAAATTCAATAAATCCTGCTCTAATTGCCAGCTGTCCAAGACAATCGCCTGTACAAACAACCGCTTCCCATAACCCCCCCCCCCCCCCCCCCCCCCTGTGTGTTATTAAAAATGTTATAATGACACTGGCCAAGATGTCCACCTGTTTAAGACAGCTACTGCTCACCTTGATAATGATGATGTGGCAGTCTTGGACATTTTTGATGGGGACTGCAGTTACAACAACAATAACAACAACAGCTATAACAACAACAACAACATGTGTGGCTTTTCCTCCACAGGTCTTCTTGAGCACCCGCCGGGGCACGTGGATCTTGCACCGAGTTGCTCCTCAAGGGAAGCCACTGGATATGGTTGCCTTGAACCGCTTTGTCATGTTTTTGATTCAGACGTTCCCCACACTTTTTGGAATGATATTAGAGTATCAACTAAACCAGAAGATTGACCACAAGCTCTACAGGTGAGCGGGTCGACTCTTACTGTTAGCATAAATATTCTAAAGCACTTGCAACACAATTGAAGACCGGAAAACAAGACTGTGCTTAAGTCCAGAATGGCTAAAATTGATTTCTTAGCATCTGTAAATGGAGAAGATTTTCCCTTATCTTATGATAGTGCACATATGACACTCTACTGTTAATGGTATAGTGAAAAGAAAGGAAAAACTGCAGCGTATTCTAAAGCAAATATATGAGGCATCATGTTGAAATCAGGCGCTCGTCAAATTAAAGAAATCAGAGAAATCAATATTTTTCCTCCGATTTGGCAATTTTTTATGAATTTTTGTTTTTTGGCTCGACAACATTCATGTCCATGTCCATTTAAAAGCACATTTCTGTATGGGTTTTGCAGAAAAACATTGATTAAAGGCACAAAAAATGTTCCATCGCGTTGTGACACATCTGGTCCTTTGTTTTTGCTGTTTTTCCCTGTTCAGAAAAAGTTGACTCGTGCACAGACTTCTTCTCTGGTCTTCAATTAGGTCACATAAGTTCCAAAGATTAGAAGTGTTTCTACTAGGGAGTAACAATAAAAAGAAGAAGTGATAATAACATTAGATGGATTGACTCTGTGAGCAACTTGTTTGTCGTAATTTGTGGAGAATATTTTATAAGGTCAATCTATGTTGTATGGCGGTGAATGCTACATCTCCAACAGAAAGATAGATACTTGAACTCATGCTCTTTGCATGCTAAACAAACAGCCTAACTATTGCACAGCTGTGCCACTCTAGTAGTATGTAGCACATCGCAGTTGGCTAAAATGCAATATGTTTCACTCTTTCATAAGGAAAAAAAAAAGTTGATTTGGGAGTAGACGCTATCACATTTCTGTTTTAGAATTTATCTCTTCATCCTAAACTAAACTCTTTATCAGAGTTCTGTGATGATTGTTTGTTATGTGTTTCCCTTTGATAAGAATGTGAAGAAAATTAGATACCAGAGAGATGATCTTTAATTAAGCTTTTGTTCCCTCCCTTCTTTGGGTTTTTTATGGAGGACACCCCCCCCCCCCTCCCTGCCTTTTACATTCCCAATCCCAACCCTCTCCTAGGTGCTTGAGTAAAAAAATGATCTATTGGATTCTAAGCAGTTGTCTAGGTTAGCTCCACGCCATGTTGTGAGGTATTTGTGTCTGGTTTTAGATCAGGAAGAGGGAGTTTATGCCCTTTGTTGTAAAATGTTTTGTTTGTTTGTTTTGAATGTAGTATTTAAAATAAGTGCTTGTCAAAATCAAAATTTGCTTTTGTTTGAATTTTTTTTTTCACTCATTACTTTCCTCTTCCATCAGCCTGAGACCAAGCTATGGACCTGCTGCACAGCACCCGTTGGTCAACGATGACATGCCAAACCGTATCATCTGCGGCAGCATTAAAATCAAAACTGACATCAAACGGTTCACGGCCACCGGCGTGGAGTTTGTGGATGGAACCTCTGAAGAGGACATCGATGCAGTCATCCTGGCTACAGGGTACTCGTTCGGGTTTCCCTTCATTGACAAAGAGGTGAGGGTTGTAGAATACTGTACAAGAGGAAGGGGACATCACGTTTAAAGTATTGCTGTTTTGGAGAGGAAAGATAAAAAAAAAGAGGAAGAAATGAATGAGTGAGTGTGTGTGTGAGAGAGACATTGAGAGGGACAGAGAAATTAAGAAAAAGGTTTATAGAAATGGAGAAGAATGAGAGAGGGAGAAAGAGAGAGAGTGAATCAGAGAAAAGAGGAGAAAAATGTTAGTGTGCATGTGTGCTCTAGTGTAAGAGTTTGAGAGAAATTAAGTGTAAGAGTGAAGGGGGAAAATGAAATGATTGTGAGAGTGAGAGAGAAACTTATTCATTTTGATATATGTGAGGCAGCGTGGTGGAATCAGGCTCTCGTCAATTTTTAGGCATGTAGAGTTATTGGTGTAATCGTAAAGCTTGTTTACTTGTCCTTATTTAGATGGAAAAAATATCCATTTATCTTGAACACGAGTCGAGATATTTGCAAATGAAGGAGGTAGGGGTCACCTGTTTCAGAGGCAAAATTAGTGAGAAAATGGCTGCCAAAGATTCGTTATTTCCTTAGCTTAAGAGTCCGTGGTAGCTGAAAATTTACATTTTTTGTACCTTTAATCAACGTTTTTCAGAAAAAGCCACACAGAAATGAGTTCTTTAATGGGCATGAAAGGTGTTGAACCGAAAAACAAAAATTTGATAAAAATACACAAACCTGCAGAAAAATGCTAGTTTCTTCACTTTGATTATTTTGACGAGAGCCTGATTCCACCACGTTGCCTCACATATTTGATACATAATTGAGGTTCATAGGATGATATTTTGCAGCCCCCTTTTTATATCAAAGTTAAGTGTTTGTGCAGCCCAAGTTTGGTAAAATTTTGAGAGCAATGTACCTCACCTTACCAGAGATTTCTAGAACGTCCAATCGAAATATGAACCTTTTTTGGAAGCACATATCTGTATGAAAGCTCTTCTACACCATGAAACTGATTAAGTCAGAGTACAGAATCAAACTGATGAGCATTTTCAAGCCATACCAAGGTCCTCACCTGCTTCCTCCTCAAGCCAAATGTGGCCAAGTTGTGCAAGTGGAAGAGCTGCCTTCATATTTGGCAGCAAGAAGTAGATAGCAGAAGCTGATGCTCTGGAGAACCGCTCATGTTTTGAACTGCTATTAATACAGATTGACAAGATTAGATTATTTGTACTTTATAAAAAATACTTGAAGCCTTATTTTGACAGAATATTTGATGCCGCTCAGGCTCCCCCAGACTTTTCCTCCGGGATAATTTGAGGGCAAAGCTTCTGCTGTGCATAAATTAAAGAGCAGTACAGAAATGTCAGACTTTATTCTAGCATGCTCACAGATAAATCGGAGGGACCTGGAAATCTTTTCATTATGTATGAATATCACTGTGTACGTGTTTTAAACACAAAGAATATACGTATATAAGAAAAAAAAATGCGGGACCTGAATATCTGTTCACTATTGGGCCCCCACCTTGCACCTTGGCAGTCTAGTGACTTTTTGTAGCTCTTAAGCTTATTTTAATCACTCTTTGTTTTGTTTTTGTCAAGCTTTTTTATTCTGTTTCCCCCAGGTTATTGATGTTCAAGAGAACCGTGTGCAGTTGTTCAAGTACATGTACCCACCCGACCTTGAGAGGCCGACTTTGGCTGTGATTGGCTGTTTTCAGCCACTGGGGGCAATCATGCCCATCAGTGAAATGCAGTGCCGTGTAGCCACAAGGGTCATTAAGGTAATTGGATTGTTATATAGCTGTCTGTGTGATGAAAGGTATACAAGACTTTGAACAACTCCTGTGCCCGTAATATAGCGCCCAGTGTGTTTTTCCACAATGCCAGGGTTGTTTATTCAGATTGATTTTGGCTTATATTGAAAATTTATAATAATGATAACGATAATAATAGTAATAAATAGCCTTTATGCTGTGTATTTCCATTTTCTAAAAAAGCTCAATGGGCATTACATTCAAAGAGATATTACAGTTTAATATAGTATAAGTAAAGAAATTGATGATTTTTCACCATATGTAGTCACTATGTCAGCTTTTCACTTTTTCAGGATGGTCATTATGACAGGGTTGAGTCAGGGCTATAGCCAGTTTACTTCAACTCAATGAAAAATGTTTTTTCATATGTTTTTCAGGGTGAGGCGTTTCTCCCACCAAAGAGTGAGATGTGGGAAGACATTCGAGCGAAAGAAGCGGAGATGGCCAAGCGCTACACCAAGTCTCGGAGACACACCATCCAGGTGAACTACTCTCCCTTCATGGACGAGCTAGGGGAGATCATCGGATGTAAACCAGACCTTTGTAAGTTTTTGGCTATAGATTTGGAGGTCTGTCTTATACTTTCTGCGCTCAAAAGGCACTTTTGTTGATTTTGAATTTTTAAACTTTTTAAATTGATGTCCTTGAGGCGAAGAATAATTTAGTTGACTACCCGAGCAAATTCAGACATTGATTCCTAGTTAAGATATCAGGAAAAAAACAACCACTTCTGTTCAGTATAAATGATTAATGAGTGTGCTGTCAGAAAACCTATGTGGCTGCCTGATGTGTGTTAGGTCAGTTGTCATGAGGGAAAAAATCCTTCCTCCTTAGTGTGATGGAACTGGATTCAACTAGAGTTCATTTCAATTAAGGTATTTGAGTGCTAAAAGAAGTAGACCAACTGGAAGCTAAAGGGGCACAATTAGGGATGAGGCTATCACCCAGGGCCTGGATGTGTAGAGATTGGAGAAGGTAGCCAGGGACAGGCAAGCATGGTGTCGACTGCTCTCCGCTTTATGTATCTGACGATATAGGAAGAGAGTAAGTAAATATTTGAGTGCTTTGGCCACTCTAGTAGTAAGTGCTGGTAGTTTGATGCTCTTGCTCTCAGATGGTTTTGTAACAATAGAGGTTTTGATTATTTGATCTGTCTAATCATTTGAGGGGGCTCCGTTCGCTCAGTTGGTATTATGTTGGATTACGGAGTTGATGGTCCAGGTTCAAATCACAAACTAGGCATTCTTGAACTCAGGCCGGTTTGTGGAGTTTTCAAGGCTCTCAATGCATTTGACTCTGTCGTATTGGAGATGGACATTTAATTCAGAGGTCCCACCTCTGAAATAACCTCATAGTGTTGATAAGGGCATTAAAGCCATACATTTACTTACTAATCATTCAAACATTAAAATAAAATGGTAGCAAGAATTTTAAAGATAGTAAGAGAAAATAATCAAATGAGTGGTCACTAATCACTCTTCTCTGACCATTCTCGTTAAGTTGCAACATTCAGGACACACCGGCTGTTGACAGCAACAACTTTGAAAGGGTGATAAACAAATAAACAATGAGCCCCCCAACCAAGTTCATGGGCTGTACAAAGTACATTGCTCTTCAAACGATATATGGATAACAATTCATGCACTCCCTCTAATGCACACATTCCCATGTTCACCTTCTAGCACAAACAAATACACTCTCTCACACTCACACACAAACACACACACTCTCTCTTTCTGACACACACAGACAGATGTACTTACACACATTCACAGAGATGTGTAACTGATCAGTATTGTAGATTGTTTCCATCACAGTCCTGCCTGAGTGTAAAGTCAGACTGAGACAAATACACAAATTGTAGCTATCATGATGTGCAGACAAAGGGAAAAAGGGAACAACTAAGATGAGCGAGTAAAACAGCAAAATATATTTCTGTTTTCCAGACCAGCTCTTCCGTCATGATCCAGTGCTTGGCTTCAAGGTAGCGTTTGGCCCCATAACGCCGTACCAGTACCGTCTGAAGGGCCCGTTGGCGTGGAAAGGTGCGCGGAAAGCCATCATGACTCAGTGGGATCGGGTCAGTGCCCCACTGAAGACACGACCACTACCAATTCCAGACTCCGGGACAGGCAACAACCGTCAGTTGATGATGATCGGAGTACTTATACTGCTGGTGTTTATCTTCCGATATCTATTTTTATAAGAACTGTCTGGACACGTGGCCTTTAGTGTGGTCTGATGGTTCTGAATTTGTCTGTAATGTGTCAGCAGCTATATTTTTCACTGATCATTGTGCTTGCTCACTTTTGTATGATTTCTACCAAAGGAAGAGGTTAGTTCGAAAGGGAGGCTAACAGGTAATTTTTTGAAAAAAATGCGACAAAGAGTTTTCAACATTTTGGATTGGGCACAGGGACATAAAAATATCCCAATATTTTTTTTGCTCGAAAGGTTTCTCTGTTTCACTTATAATAATATACTTTACTGGATATAGAATGTGGGCTTTGAATTCTGATGACACAATTATACATTTTTTTCCTTATTAGCCCCACATCCCTTAATTTGAACCAACCCTGTGAAAATACGCTTGGAGAGACTAAGATTTTAGAATATTCCAAATCTTACGCACTTTGTTACATTCAGCCAACAAGTTTTTATGTCAAGGTTCTCCATTGTGGTAATTCTTCAGATTTCTGGACCTCAAGAGGAATGATTGAGTTTGGACATTTTTACATTTTCTTTGTATTAAAGCTGCACTCAGGTAGTAATGATAAATATGTTGGTGATAAATGGACAACTCAATATTTTGACTGTACATTTCTATTTCTATCTGCGAAGACATATAAAGTGTATAAAATGGGCATTTTATTCTGATATCGAGCGAGAAGTTGCTATCTCATGACATTTTTTTCAAAGATGTATTTTTTAAGAACTTACATCTAACTTGCTAACAATAATACAAGCAGCAGCTATTCTGAATCTTTTCCGAAGGGTATTTTGTTATAACATAGATTTCACTGGCTTTGTGATTTCAGGGTGCTTGTTTTGATTTATTTTATTATGTTGTAGAATCTGAGGAGGAAAGTTGTTTTGGACAAGGTTTGGGTTATACTAGATGCAATGAACCAATGTGTAGGCATGTTTTGTGTGTTATGAGGAAATTGGTCAGTTGAACCAGATTTTTACTTTATCCCTCAAATTTTTTTAGTTCTTAATTTATTATCGCCTTTTTTCTATTTGCTGAACATTTGATGCTTTATTTTATTCCAGTGATACCAGGGTATCTTTTTTACATCCAGTACACAGATTTAAGACATTTTTATTGTATGCCAGTGGCATCTATAATGATTGCTATTGGTTCTGTAAATTAAGACTATTTCTACCCAAAATAGATAACATTTTTCTTTGTTGTTCTATTTATTCAGGGAGTTAAGACTTTCTATATATATATATTGTCGGTGCTCTGATGGGACCTTGCTAACTTGAACTTTGGAGAAAATAATAATTTTTTTTTGCACCAAAAGATTCCTGATACCTTGATACATTATCCTCATCCAATGCCAGATCTGCGGCAGACATTGGCGATCATGGTTCTCCTTTCATCTCTTTGCTCGGATGCTCTTAAAAAAGCTACGTTTCCCTGATCTTTCCCTGTCACTCACTTGTTCAGGTTCCCCAAGGAGGTTGCTCTGGGCCTACCCCAGCTTCGCTTGCCTTTCTATTTTGCCAGTGAGAGCTAGATGTTCAAGACCCTTGATACATATTGTGTAAAAATTCTAAGCCCAAACTACAAATGCTTGAAAACGAACTTTAAATTCTGAGTAGACTTCGCTATCCACCACAACGCCATGTATGATGTTTGATTCTTTGACCTCGCTAATGTGTTAAATATAACAAGGTTATAAGGACCCACTGCTTTCTTCCTGTGGTCACTTACTTTTTTCTTCAGTGTTGAGGGACACAGAAATTTTCTTTGGGCATCAGGAATCATAAAACAACCCAGAAATATATATGCATTTAAAGACAAGCCGGAAATAGCGATGTTAGAATGGAGCAACTGAAAGACACACAGTGCACTGTTCTGACCTGGCTAACATCTCAGTGAGGTTCAAGGAGCAGCAATTGTGGCATAAATCCTTGGTGACCAAAGGAAGTTTTGTTACCAACTCAGATTACATGATAACATGCTCCAGTAAAACACATACTTCTTTGTAAGATTTTGTCTAGGTCCCATTACAGTATTATGACAAGCTTTGATTACCTACGTGTTAAAAATAACAATGTTAGACAGTCTTTCGTCTCTCCTGTGAAATTTTAAAATTCTAGTTAACAAAGTTCCAACGGAGCACCAGTGATATGTAGATGGCACCTCTGTTGCAAGTGTTTTTGATTCAGCAGTCGTAGAATTTCATCTTTGCCCCAGTGCCATAAAGAAGTTTTTACAGGTGCAACTCAACTATTGAGTCTTTCTGTATGAAATTTTAGTCATTTCAGGCAAGACCTGTTACTGTAATAATGTTGAAATAAAATTCAAGTTTCATGGACGAAAGATGTTTGCCACTATGTTATGCTTTTATCCTTACACAGTGAAGACTGTACATATTGCCTAAAGTTCTTTCTTTCTTATTACTGGAAGGTATTACTGTTATTGATGCCGTTGTCAGATTGAAGGACTAAAGTTTGGCTGGAACTGAACAATTTTTTTACTGAAATGGTTCCCAGTCTTTTTTTCATAATTTTTTGGCTGTGAATGTTATAGTTCTAGAAAGAGACAGTTTTGATAAAATTTTGGTGTTCAAACCTGGTTTTCTATTATTTTGCAATCCACTTTTGTGATAAGGCCTTTGCTAGTTGTAGAATTGGTGAGTAGTTGATAAAGCACTATCTTATCTTATCTTATAATTGACCAGGAGCTTCGTAACACTTATAGAACACAGTTGTCGTAATCTTGCACTTATTTTTGTAAACCTGTCACCAGCAGATTTTAATCACACCTATTGACTGGTATATTTCGTACACACCTAAGTATTTATCTCCTACTGTTGTTGTGCTGAAATAAATCAGATCTGTAATTTTTTTAAAAAATCCATATTGCTTTAAAAAATGTTCAATTGTCATTCAAGAAATAATTTGATTTTGATTAGGTTGTTTTTTTTTCATTTTTGTAGCTCACATATTATTTTGCTAAATTCCCACATGTGAATGTGACTTAATGTTATACGTTCATTGTGAATGACACAGACCTGCCAAGTATTCTGCTTGATAAAATTGAAGCCCTTTGATTTTTTTTTGTCCTTCAAAGGACCCTGATTATATTTGCATAAAATCTAATTTTTTTTCTTGAGTTCTGTTTCCATCGATCATATATTATAAATCGTGTGAAAATACACAGGTGTATTTTCATTATTTGCATGACTTATCTTTAATGACATAAACATAATTTCTATTTGGGATTATTTGGATGTCTTATCAATATTCATGTTTATTTGCCAGTCGGATTGTAACATAATCTTAATCTATTGGGATTCTAGAGACTCCTATTCTTAAGGAAGGTTCTGAGGAAAAACTCATATTTTTGTTTATGGAGTGATTGAGGAAATTGGTCAGTTGAACCAGATTTTTACTTTATCCTTCAAATTTTTGTAGTTCATAATTTATTATCGACTTTTTTCTATTTGCTGAACATTCGATGCTTTATTTTATTCCAGTGATACCAGGGTATCTTTTTTACATCCAGTACACAGATTTAAGACATTTTTATTGTATGCCAGTGGCATCTATAGTGATTGCTATTGGTTCTGCTGATTGGTAGGTCTGATGTTATATAGTTATAGCATGTGATTGATTTGCTAATGGTGATTTTCTTTCACTTCATTGGCTTTTTTTATGGCTTCCTACTGGTTATGATTGTAAAATGCCAACAGCGGTCTTTGCTACAGCTTTATTTCTCTGTATTTATTTTTACACCCCCCCCCAACCCCTCCTTCTCCATCCCTTTCCCTCCCCCAATGATATGAATTTGCTTTTACACATTATTTACAACTGGCATCTGTGGTGTAGCGTTCAGACTCTTTGCTGTTGCATGCAAGAGGCCCAAGTTCAATTCCAGATTGAGGAAAATTTTGATCTCAATCTTTCCACTATGAGGTTGTATCCCTCTCTGCCCAGGTTAGCCCTGACAGGCAGGATCGAAAGTCTGTCTTCTGAATGATCAACCTAGTGTTGATGGGAGCATAAATACACTTACAATATTTACATTAATTTAAAACATTTTTTGAAACACGTTCACTTAAGATGCTTGAGTAAGTATACGAGTCTATTTTTTCCGCAAGACACTTCTTTTAGTATATTAGGATCTTAGCAATGTGCCATGTTACAGGGGGTGTTAAAATATAACGTTGATTTGGAGGTCCTGCTAATCAGAACTTTGGAAAAGCGGACTGCTGATGTTCGGCATTTTGGTATAAGTTGTTACAAAGAAAGCACTGTACAGGTTTGTATGGGCTGATCCAGCTCAATGGCAGGTAGGGCTGGGATTATACGGATAATTTGATACCCGGGTCTGAAAAAAATACCCGACATTCCAATTATCATATGATGTTTCTGTACTGCTCTGCCTACTTGCTATTTCATTTGTGTGTTTTCCCTTCAAATACTTTAAGAGGCTTGAAGTTGAAGACCCATCAACTTTTATTATGCTTTTGCAGATGTTGCAGGAAGCCCTTTTTTCGTCTTTACCCTAGCGTATGCCTTTCTTTGAGACATCTTTGCTAAAATGACAAAGCCAAAGCTATTTAAACTATTTTACTTCACACCATTTTTAGAAATGTTCCACTTCTCTGTTGGATTCTTAGAACTGCACACAAGTTGCTTCCATATTTATAAGGACACTGAAATTAAAACTATTGGACTAGCTCTACCAAAGTATCCGATTGATTCTTGGAAACTTCCTTATAATATGCCCAAATGTGGCCTTTTTTGTGGTGTGCTGATTTCCAGGGAAATGAGGTACGAGTAGTGGTGGGCACTAGTCGATATTGGCCAATATCGAGTACTGTATCGACTTACAGAGCTCAGTATCGATAAGTACTCAGTACTTAATGAGGATCGAACGAAGGGACGTAATTTAAGTGCATTTGCATAGCATTAGCGAAGGGGAGTAGAAGACCCGGGTACCCGACACCAATACCCGGGTAGCCAGTTTTGAGCTCTTTACCCAGGTACTCGCCCAGCCCTTATGGCAGCATACAGATATGTCGTGTTCAGAGGCATTATGTTGTTGGTTGATCCTTTCTCCAAAAGGTTGTTAAGTTATCAGTAAGGTTTGTCCTGTTCCTTTCAAGAAGTCTTTTCTGTCTATCATCTATTCTCCTTCCCCTTCTCTCTCTCTCCTCTTGTCTACTCCTTGTAGCAGTATGTTTCATGATGTCTTTGATTGCCGTCCTCAGTGATGTTGATTTCGTTGGTTGTGTTGAATATGATTATGAGCCTTCTTATTAGTCAGCTTTCTTGTTTCCTGACTGGGCTGTGGAATCCTCTGCAGTACAGACTTGACAGTGGAAGAGCAGGGCTGTCCATCATTACAAATTTGGTCATGGAGTGGTTGGCAGGTCTGATGATATATGGTTATGGCATGTGATTTGCAAATAATGATTTTTTTCTTTTCAATTTTTATGACTTTTAATCGTCACAGTTTTTTTATTCAATTTTACAAAAATACAATCGTAAAACCCCTGATTTCGATTTGTAAAAATTCGACTATACCAAGTCACTGCTAACCTTCCCGCTGTACAAGGGGAGAAAAACTTACGGGCTCAAACAGTCTACGACGTCACTACGTCACGTGCAGATGACTAACCTTAGCATCCCCTGTGCCTTGAGCCCTTGCAGTCGCTCAGGTCAAAGTTGTCCTTAGAAAAACATTATACTTTAGAAGTGCCGAAGCTAGGTAAGGTAAACATTAGGCCGACATGGCCTTAACACATTCCTGTCTTTTTGTGCTGTGTGTGACAGCCAAGGCCAGCGAGAGATCTTAAATAAAAGGAATCATTGCTTTAAACTTAATACCACTAGCCCCCTTTTCTGCCCTTTTTTTTCTTAACTCGACCTGTAACGAGCCCGCTAAGACCTTTTTTATTATCTTGCTTTTTTTTTACATTACTTTTATACTTGCTTGACTTCAACCCCTGTCCCTGACACGCCTGCGAAGAAAACTAACCATGGCCATATTACAAATTTTTACGCCAGATTACTAATTTTTTATTTGCTGATTACTAAAACACATGCTGATGGGTGGGTGGCCGTGGAAGAGGAGAGTAGGACTGTCACAGAGAACTGCGCATTCATTTGCCAAGGAATTATAGTGTTGACCTTTCTTTGATTTGTACACACCAGTACCATACATACCATACATATCTCCAAGATGCCATTAAAAACCCACTGTTGCAAGAATTCTGAGGGTGCCTATTTAATTATACTAGTGGTCACAAATGAAAAGAACAAACTTATGCCAAATTAAATATTAATTGCTGGCGTCAAAATGTTGACAATAAAATGAAGGATTCAAATACATGATATATTGTTTTGTTCATTTGTGTATTTTTAGCTTTTTATGTTTGTGACACAATAAGTATAAGAGTAAAAATGAACCAAAGATAGCAAGTGCGAGTTGCTGGAAGAAGTTTTTAAGCTGAATTATATGTGTGTATTCTCTTATCTTATGTACTCCAGTACTTCTTGATCTCTAAGATAGTATTTTGAGGTATGGAAGGGGGTGGGGGGGGGG